ATATATAAGTGATGAAACACAATTTTAAATAAATTGTATATAATAAAAAAATAGTTAGTTTTTGTAAAAGAAAAATAATCTCAAAGAACAAAAATTTCACGAAATTTATTAGAAGAGTTAAAAAAAACTAAGAAAAATCAGACCAAATATATTAAATAAATATAAGTCATACAATCTTACAAATTATGATTGTTCAAGTGGACCTAGCAGTGATGCAACATTTATTTATCTAACTGTATTTTAATATAAAAATTAATTAATAAATATCTTGATAGTATTAGTTAATAAATTAAAATATTACTAAAAACTTAAAGTAGAAATATATTGAACAATATTATAATTTGTATTTGCGAATTTTTTTATAAACTTTATTTTACTTTTATTTTTTTTCATTAATATATATTGAAAAAAAAAAGGAGCTAACATTGTCTTTAAGACTCTCTTCGTACTTAATTATAGACAATTTCAACTAACTTACACTCTAATTAAGAAATAAACTAACTTTATTTAACTCACTAATTTTAATTAAAAAATATGTTTTTCTTATATTATCCTTCATTGAAATTTGATATATTAAATATGTTCATCATATTGGATTAATCCAATGAACTTGATAATTCAAATCAAACCAATTAAATTAGTTTTTTTTTTGGTCCAATTCGAACCAGATTAATTAAATTTAATGTTAATTAATTTAAGTGTCATATTTAAACATTTAAAATTTGAATCAATCTAAACCAAATCAAATAGTTTATATATTATTTTTTATTTGATTAACAATTAATAAGTATGTATCATTTTAATTATTTTAAAGATGTTTATGTGTTACAATATTTAGATTTTTTCATTCCTATTTTCAAATACTTAAAGAAACTAAGAAGAATTATATCACAATATATTGAATGTCATTTTCACACACTGTAGTATATTTGTAATCTTTAATTAGATTAAGAAAATAAATGAAGAGAAACTATATTACAAATTTATTAATTTAGTTAATTTTTAACAATATATCAATTTAATTAATGATGAAAATTCTATTTACTTTAAGAAAAATATTATTTTTTAATTTAATATTTTTTTGAAAAATCATTGAATGTTCGATGACCTAAACCGAATCAACTCAATCAACATTAAATTGGTTTAGTTTGAATTAAAAAAAAATAATATAAAATCTAAATTTATATAAATCAATTAAATTAAATTTGTTGACATTGGATTTTCACCCAAACCCAACCCGACCCATGAACACACTACAAGAAATGTTACATGTAGTGACATATACAAAAAGTGTCACTATAAGTACAATATATGTAGGTATATGTCTATTTGACATATAATTACACACAATTTTAGTGTTGATTTTGAATGAGATTTAACAACATATTTTGTATATCACTATAGTCTATACTCACACTTTTTAATAATATACCAACATATATTGTAGTTATTGTGTGGGTAAAAATAATTTTTAGTAACATATATAGTGTCATTATAAGGTGTGTGTCACTGTATGACAATTTTGTTGTAGTGACATGTTTATAAAAAAAGTAAAAGTGTCATTGATAATAAAATCTCAATAAATAATTTTAATGATATTACCATTAAATATAGTAAGTGTAATTAAACTTTATTTATAATTATATTCCCAATTCAAGAGTTTTTTTTAATAATAATATAATACTATATATACAACAAAAATTATATACCAACTTATTTAGTGTCACATGAGTTGTTATGTAACATTCGTCATTTGTTTTTATTTGTATTTTAATATAGAAGAATTATGTAATAGATCAATTACATACTTCTATTTTATTATTAACCAGCAGTATCAACAAATTAAAATAGGCATGTTTTGAATTGATTTGGTGTACTATTTTGTTAGATAGAAGTAAATATACTCTAATATATGCAATATTTTTTTGACCTAGAGTACTATGATATTTATAACATAATGTTATATATACACGTGACTTACATTTCTCGGATCATAGTACAACTCACAAGCACGAGAAAGTTTTAAAGAGAGAGCAGCAACACAAAAATTAAAGGTAATAATTCTCTTCTGATAACTGATTAATGGTTGCTAATTAACAAAATGGTGCTATTTCTATTAACACATTTAAGTCTTGTACTTTGGTTAGGCCCCCCATATTGATTTGATATGTTTGTCTCAAAAAAGAATCAAGCAGGTATCTTTCACACTCTTGCTTTTATACTTTGTTTCTTGTGAGAAAATAAACAAGAGTACAATAAAATAGGACAAAATGAAACGGAGAGGAG